CCAGACAGAGAGAGAGAGACATAGAGACAGAAAGCGAGAAATCACCCCCCAGGGGGGATGGTCACGCCGCAATCCCCTCTCCTCCATTCTCCTCTCGGGATCCTGGGCACGCACGCACACGCGCCCGGCGTGAGTTTTAAGCCACCGGGTCCAGGACACAAACCACGGTCGACTACGTGGGAGTCCAGCGACATAGCCATTATACTAACTGCTGGTTCCCATGAGGAGAGTACTTTTAAGTATAGCATTAATCCCCAGCAAATTTCCCCTCCCCTCCCCTGCTTCTCCATCTCTCTTGGATTCTGTCTTTCACAGGATGAGAACTTTAGGAATTCATTTTTATGAAACCATCACCATCACTTCGGCACCAGTCCTCCTCACTTTAAAAGAATGAACTTACGTTTCGTGTTTCTCATTAGAGGGTTAGGCCCACTGAGTGTGCACCGTGCCCGCTTCCATTTATCAGAACGCGGTTCAGGATATGAAAAGTGAAAATGTTTCTAGCCTCAAGGCACTTTGGCCATCTTGTTTTGTCCTTTTACTGGGATAGTATCCCTGTTTTTCTGGCATGTAGTTTTATAAAGAAGTAAAGTCTGCCTGGTCTCTCAGCCGTTTGATAGGTCAGAGAACATGTAGGTTTTGAGGAGCTAGATATTTCTAGCACACCTTTCCTTCCACTGTCCCCCACACTCAGCTCCTGCAGTAGGAAATGCACCAGTCATGTGCCCAGTGCTGCCATGGTCACAGTTTGGTGACCCAGCAGAGGTAGCTGTGCCACCATGCCACAATCTCCTGACCTCACGTTGCATCCCATTGGCCTGAGCAGCACCATCATGTCATGAGTGTCTGTGCAGTCACTGTGGCATGCCCTGTGACCGTGGCGGGGGGGGTGGGGGTGGGTGGCTTGTGTACGTTAGCTCTGCTGCCAAGCTTAATACCATTAATACCATTGGGTCAATTTCCGCATTTCCCTGATTGGATTCTTTTCTTTCAAAAATTTGGTACTATCTCTTAAATGGTTACGTTGCATACCTGACATATCTAAACTGAAATGCTGACCGATTCAATTTATATGCTAAGATCCATATTCATATTAATTACCATTGGTCCAGTGTACTGTGTAGTCTTTCCTATAGTTTGTCCTTAAGAAAACATTGATGATATTATATATTGTCAGTTTTAGCACAGCTCCTTAGCCCGTAGAAGCATTTATTTGCATTTTTTTTTCCCAAATGGATGTGGGGAAAATGTGTGTACTGTGTGGGTCATACTAATAGATTCTGTTGTGTTTTATGTTATTTGTAGTAAACATTTGCAAATCAATGAATGTCTCTTGTTTTCTTAATTGTTAGCTGCTTGGAAATTTAGAAAAGTCAGGTAAACTTGTTATCTTGTAAGTATTGTTCAGACCACAGTTACATCTTTAACTTTCATTTTGCTTCTTCAATGCATGAAGATTCACATTGGCTGACTGCTTTTTGTGTTCTCCATTGTAAAGTACTGGATATCTTCCCCTTAAATTCAGTTTTTTTTGTTTTTTTTTTAATGACTGCATGGGGCTTGGAACCACATTTGTTATGTGTTTTTCAGATTTGTTCAAATTATTCTCACTCAAAAGAATGCTTTTCTGTGAATTAAATTTTAAGCTATTCAGAAATTCTTCAAGGCATTGCTGGCAGCTCGTCTGTCTTCACTAAATTGTAGTTTGTCAGCACGATTCTTTTCTCTGAAGAAAGGCTAGGTTTGCTTTCTTTGCTACATGTGGCATGCTTCTGATTTTTCAAGCCACTCATTTGTGTCTTTCATTTCTCATCCTGTTGCTTATGTATATACTTCTGGGAAGAGACAGTGCCCTTAAAAAAAAACAAACATATTTTTGGAGAGAAGCGATCATATAATAGCATGATTCAGGGACAGACAGGGACTTAGTATCTGCATGATCATGAGTGTGATGAATGAGAGCTGCTAACTTTATATTAGGGGTCTTCGAAAAGTTCAGGGGAAGTTCATATTATTAAAAAAAATATGCATGGATTTAAAAATTTTATAGCAAAATAAATTCACACCATAATTCCACTTTTCCGTGAACTTTTTGAAGTCCCTTCCTATTTCCCAGCCCAGTCTTAACTTTTAAATGACCTGGATGATAAAGAGCTTCTGACTAGAAGAAATTGAGTACATATACAAATGTAGTGTCAAGTGTTTGGGTGTGTTTGCCTCCATTAAGTCAAAATGAAAGTGATCCCAAATATATCACACCTGCCCAGTCCAATGAGAATTGCTAGAGTGTTCACAGTGGCACTTTATCAGACAACCTGTAAATATTACCCATAAATATTTTTGCGATATTCAGAAATGTCTGTGACAGTGGCGTATTCGTAAGTGGATAGATTTCTGTTGATTGCAATTTGAAATCCTTTTAGTGTAAGTTTCTGCCATATTCTACAATGAGTGATTGATAGAAGACATAATAGAAAAGTTAAGTATATTAGAATG